TGGGAGAGAGAGGGGGGAGGGAGACAGGAGAGAGGAGTTTTAGTGAGGCAGGCGGGCAGGCATCTGCCTCAGGCGTCTGCCCAGCACAGCCATGCTCTCCAACCCACAGCTTCCAAGGACCTTTTGGCCGGTTGCCTAGCTCACAGACCTGCATGAAGGGGTCTGGTGACCCAGCCTGGCATGTGAAGGGTTTGTGACCCAGTCTGTGAATGGGCTTGAGGGGTCTGTGAGCTCCAGACACAGCCCTAGCTCAACAATTGGCCCAGCCGGCAGGATTACCGGCAGGTAAAAGAGCCCGACACTGGCGTGGTCACCTAGCTTGACAACTGGCATCAGGAACAGGGTTAAGAGCGCTACAACTGGCAATGTCGACAGGATTTTGACATTAGCCATAGCTTAGCCCTAGCACCACAGAATCCACCTCTGAATCTAGAATCATTCTTCAGAGCCGGTCTCCTCAGCCAGAACTAAGAAAGAAAAAAGAACAGCAACAACAAAAACAACAACAAAAAGGCTGGTCTCCAAACAGATCCAAAAGCAAGTTTGCTATCTGCCGCATGAGCTAAGCAACAACTACTTGGCACTGCTTCATTATTAACAAATAGAGATTTAGTTTACTCTTGATGATTCTGAGAGAAAAGGAGAAAAAGTTATCAACAGAACAGAAAGTCTTTTATATCGACAAAATAAAACTAAAAAAAAAAAAAAAGAACAAAGTCTTTTAAAGTCTTTAAGCCTTTGTATGAGGACTCATGTTCTACAATTACAGACATCTGCACTAGTTTAAACACTATCATGTCCATTCACCTTCAGAATTATGGGTCTACGAATAATAAATTTTTTTAAAGTGCTTTCTTATTACTATAACTTAATTTAAAAATTCAACTCCTTGATACAAATCAAGCAATTAAAACTCATCTGGTAAACGTAGTTTTCCTTCTGCAGTATTTTGGTTAAATACCGTACTATATTTGCTTTCCAGCATTAGACTACACTTTAAAAA